CTCCCACTCCCTCCCTCTCCCACTCCCTCTCTTCCCTCCCTCTCCCTCTCCCACTCCCTCTCCCTCCCTCTCTGACTCCCTCCCTCTCCCTCTCCCTCCCTCTCCCTCCCCGTCCCTCTTCTTCTCCCTCCCTCTCCCTCCCTCTCCCTCAATACATTCCCCCAGTAATAGGGGTAAGAGTCACCTGCATCATTTACTGGGAACCTGTTTGCCAGGTGAGTGGGGGTCTGTATTGATTGTGGGCTGGTTTATGAATGTTTTTTTTTCCAGTTTATCTGCTGATCCTGCCAGACAGGAGGATTCCTGAAACCAGGGAGAGTTGAACAGAGTGACAATGTCTGAGTGAGATGTGCTGTGAACACTAGTCCCCTCTCCTGGAAACCACTCTCTGCTTTTCCCTTGCAGATGTCGCCGAGTGCACAGAGAAGGTACTGCCCACTGTAGCCACCCCAGTCCAGACTAGCCATGGCAGCCGGGGTCGCGGCCTGGTTGCCCTTTGCCCGGGCTGCTGCAATAGGATGGATGCCAGTGGCCAACTGTCCCATGCCCCTTGCCCCAGGAGACAAGAATAAGAAACAGGATGAGCTCATCATCCTCAATGTGAGCGGCAGGCGCTTCCAAACTTGGAAAAACACCCTGGAGAGATTCCCAGACACCTTACTGGGCAGCACAGAAAAGGAGTTCTTCTTCCATGAAGAAACTAAGGAGTATTTCTTTGACCGGGACCCTGACATCTTCAGGAACGTGTTGAATTTTTACAGGACGGGCAAGTTGCACTACCCAAGGCATGAGTGCATCTCAGCCTATGATGAAGAGCTGGCCTTCTTTGGCATCATCCCGGAGATTATTGGGGACTGCTGTTATGAAGAGTACAAGGACAGGAAGAGGGAGAATGCTGAGAGATTGATGGATGATAGTGACTCAGAGAACAAAGCGGAGGGCAACCTTCCGTCCCGAACCTGCCGCCAGACCATGTGGAGAGCCTTTGAAAACCCTCACACCAGCACCTTAGCGTTAGTCTTCTATTATGTGACTGGCTTCTTCATTGCAGTGTCAGTGATCACCAATGTGGTGGAGACTGTGCCCTGTGGCATTGGCCCAGGCGATGTCAAAGACCTGCCCTGCGGGGAGAGGTACGTGGTGGCTTTTTTCTGCCTGGACACGGCCTGTGTGATGATCTTCACGGTCGAATACCTCCTCCGGCTCTTCGCTGCCCCCAGCCGCTACCGGTTCATGAGGAGCGTGATGAGCATCATTGACGTGGTGGCCATCATGCCTTATTACATTGGCCTGGTGATGACCAACAACGAAGATGTGAGTGGAGCCTTTGTCACCCTGCGGGTGTTTCGCGTGTTCCGGATTTTCAAGTTTTCTCGCCATTCCCAAGGTCTGAGGATCCTCGGCTACACTTTGAAGAGCTGTGCCTCTGAACTTGGGTTCCTCCTCTTCTCCCTCACCATGGCCATCATCATTTTTGCTACTGTGATGTTCTATGCTGAAAAAGGGTCAACACACAGCAAGTTTACAAGTATTCCCGCCTCTTTCTGGTACACCATTGTCACCATGACAACACTGGGGTAAGTCTCAAGGTTTTTACTTTCTACACTCAACCCGCCACCCCGTATTCTGATAAAGAGGCCCCAAACTCTCCCTTTTTGTGTGCGAGTACTGGTTCGCTTGAATACTTCAATACAGCCATTAGCCAAATAAAGTGGATTTTTAACAAGTACCGCGCACCTCCCCCCGCTCCCAGCCCGGCATTCGCTTTACAACGTAATCTCAAATTAATATATGATAACATCGCCTTTATTATTTAGTAGCATAGGGCAAAGCGTCGAAAGTAGAAAAAGGATTAATTAAATATCGTTTCAGCTCCAGATTAGGCATTGAACTTTCATGATTTGGCGAGCAGCCTGGACGTCTATAATTACATTCTCGGAATTAACTCTGTTTAATCCCCTTTCCTAAGGAGTACCAGACATTGCCAACAGTTGCTGCATTTCACACGGAGACAGAGAGGCAGCACCAGATATTAATTTTTGTCAGGCAGGGGGGCAGAAAGTTTAATTCGCAACCAGTGCGTGCAAAGGAGCGAGTGGAACTGTCTCATACAGTGGCAGATCCCGAATTGTACTCAACAATGTGGTAGTTAACTGTCACTTTCCTTAGTTACTGCACGCTTCCACTACGGGGCAACAGATTAGACGCCATCCCTGGAGAGTCTTATTTATGTGAACATCAACTGCTGTATTTCATTTCCTCAAGAAGGAATTTCAGATGGGGGAAGGGAGAAGAATGATTTTCTGCTTTCGGAAATCGCTCTGCAATCTGCAGTAAAACGATGCATTTTCGTTCATTGACTTGGTCTAAAGAAAGACAAGATTGTGTATATAATCTGAGCGGTGTTTCTACAATAGGATTCACAAAAACAAACGTGTTTCCTCAGACCTCCTGGGTTAATGACCTTAAGGTTTATTCGTTTAAGTAACAGCCATAAAGTTTCTTCAAGGGAACTTGGTAGATGAGTGCTGTAATGCTCAAAGCTGATGAATGCCTCTGTCCATGGTGCTGAACTACGACCTCCTCATTTCTCTGCAAATTACAGGTCGTTTGGGATATACGTGGAAGTGATGGTTGTTCCAGCTTTTCATGCTGTCATTCTCGCCGTTTGCAATCTTTTCATTGTCCACATGGTACTGCTAGATTGTAGAAAGATAATGTGAGACTGCTTCCTTCGTCTGCCAAGATTCAGAAGCTATCAGTCTGGCTTCTGAGTCAAGAGGGCGGTGTGTCCACCTCACATTCCGAAACACATGATTCCGGACACTGAGCACTGAGGGAGTGCTGCACTGTCAGAGGGGCTATCTTATGGACTTTAACCCTAGCTTCTGCCTGTCCCTTCTGACTGGTATAAAAGAGGCCGCTGTGCTATTTATTTGAGAAGTTGAGCTTTAATCCCCATCATGCTGAGCAATGTTTACCCCTCATCCACTTCATTAAACAATAGACCATTACTTCATTATTCCTTGTGGGAGCTTGCAGCAATCAAATTGCCCCCCCACATCTCCTACATTATAACATCTCATCAGCAGGAAGATATTTCAGGACGTCTTGTAATCAAGAAAAAGTGCTATTAAGATGGATGTTTTACTTGCCCTGGGTGCCTTTGCATAACAGGGCGGTTAGCTCAATTGGCCAAGTGATGTCAACAGTGTGTTTTCAATTCCTGCATCAACTGAGGTTACCATGAAGAACTGTCCTCTCAACCTCTCCCCTGAGGTGTGGTGACACTCAGGTTAAACCACCACCAGTCCTCCATATCACTCCCCCTTTGTCTCTCTCTCCAATGAGGGAGAAATCTGGTAGATCATGGCAACTTTACTTTCTTCTACAAGAGGTGTCCTGAGCAATGTAGGAAACAGATGTTAAGCAAAATACTGACACTGGTGCAGAGTATACAGAGTTTTTTTTTGTTTATCAGTTTATGATAAAATTACATTCTTATTTGGAAATTTATAAGTAAACTCAATTCAGAGCAATCACACTAAGTAAGAATTTTAAAAACAAAGGTCAAACTTTTATTTCTATCTTTAGTTTGGCCCCAATGATTTATCCAGCGCTAGGACATCCATGGGTCAATCATTTATCTCTGGAGATTGGAAATAACTAAAGTTATCAACAGAGAATGACATTATACTTTGATAACTCAGATCTACTTAAAATCTGAAGTAGTATTTGATTTGGAGATCATATTCACATTTAAATACATATCCATTCTTCAGGAACATTCATTTCTGCTTAAATGGAAGCATTTTATATGACATTTTCTTAGCCTCATGAGGACAAGGCACGGATGGTACACCAGTATTTTTAGAACAATAGAAAAGCCATTAGGCCAAACCAACCTATTTATTTTTAATATATTCACTTCATCTTTGTGTTTTATCACCATAATTGCTAATCAATTCTCTCTCTCTAAATGGACTTGATTATGTTCTCAACTCATTTTACAATCTCTGCTTCAATAACCTTCCATAGTAACGTGCATCGTAACTCTACTACATGTTCTGCAAAAATTTTCATCTGACATCCTGCCTGGCTCATTTTCTTCCTTTTCATTTTGATCTCCTGAGTAGTTAAAGCCTGCACCATTCTCAAGAATTTGCTTACATCAGGTAATGAATCCATCCTGACTACTGTTGCAGATCAAGAATAATATTCAAAGTAAAAAAAGATGAGAACAATAAGGCTTCGATACATTGCCCTCAGATTTATTGCCTTCTGATCCAGTAGAACTGTCTTATTATCTATTTTGTCTTCGAAATAGTCGGACCACAAAATGACCCCTGAATGAAAAGGTTGTAAAGACGGTCTGCTGTCTGACAGTTTTGAATTCCCTTCTTGTCCTATCCCCTAGAAAGTGATTCAAAGAAATTTTATCAAATGT